TTGGTAGTTCCTTCAGTTGAAATTCAATTGCTATTAATGGAAGCCGACGGTGAGCACTTTACTCCCCTCTCTCCTTCAGTGCTCTGTTTTAAGAGTATTTAAAGCTGAAGCTACACAGATAGAGAGAAGTTGAAGCAGGCGTGGAGATCCTAAGGATTGAACCGTAGACCTCAGCTCTGAAGGTTGCGCACTAACCAACGGAGCTACGCCTGCTCCTATAAAGATGATGATGATTGTGGTGATGATGATGATGATGATGATGGTGATGATGATTATGATAATTTGTGATGATGATGACCAACTCATCACAGTTCAGTACCATGATATCTTTCTTTTTACTTCCACAGGGAACTCATTAACACTACCTTACCCAAGGGCCTTACTGGAGAAGTATCGTTCAATAGCATTGGTGACCGCAAGAATACCAAGTATAATATTCTGAATAAAAACACCCAAAATAGCAATTTGACAGTTGGACAATTCCTTGATGGACAGGTGTCAATCAATGAGAGTATTGTTTGGCCAGGACTACAGAACACTATGCCAAAAGGAGTGTTTGTTTCGAACCATTTGAGGGTAAGTTTCTTTTGCATGAGTCTCTTCTATAATATTGTATGCATTTTACAGGCATTCAGGCATGCTTCATTTCTGCCATGTGTGTGCAAATTGCCATTCTATACAATCATGTAAGTGGTAAGTGCAGGCTGTGTGTTTTGTATTGCTGACATTTCTGTCCTATGCATGGAATAATATGGAAATCTCATGAACACAAATGTATGTGCTTGTATATGATATGCCATCAAATGCATGCACACTTAAATTACTATTCCTTGCAGCCAAATGCATGCAAATACGCATACACATGTGCATATGCAATTACTTGCATGTATCTTGTTTTAAATCCATGATGGATGCATGGTTTTGTCAAACCACATACTTTCACCATGTATGACTCAGTAGTAAGAGGTTTTYGTAATAAATACTTTATTAGTAGACTGCTTTGCATTTGCTGTAGCATTAGAAATTATTCAAGCAAAAACTCAGTTTATTTTTTTCTATTTAGGTTTTAACATTGGTGGGTGAACCATTTGTCCAGGTCAAAGCAGTGCCTCCCAGTGGCAGATGCCAAGACCTGGATACAAGCAAACATAAACATGTACGCTGTACAGGAAGGGTGTTTGGAGTAGACATACAAGAAGATGTTGCTTCTAGGAATGAACACTGTTGTTATGGTAATTACCTGGAATATTCCATGAATGTTTGATTAGTGCACAGGGATTTAGCCAATCAGAGTGAATCATTGTGGAATGTAATTGAATTGAATCATTTTGTTTGTTTTTTAGGTTTTTGTATGGACTTACTGATCAGGCTTGGAGAGAAGATTAATTTTACATACAGTGTGACATTGTCAGCTGATGGTAGTTATGGATCTCTCAGAAGGGTATGTTCCATCCGTCCATCCATCCATCCATCCATCCATCCATCCATCCATCCATCCATCCATCCATCCTCCCTCCCTCCCTCTCTCCCTCCCTCACTCCCTCCCTCATTCCTTCCCTCCCTCCCTCCCTCTCTTCCTCCTCTCCATCCCTCCTTCCCTACTACCATTCATTTATCCATGCAGCCATAATACTGTACCTCCATCCATCCATTCAGCCTACCCTCTCTCATTAATACAAACTAATGTTTCAAAGCATTCCTTTTCGTATCATGTTTCAGGTGAACGGATCAGACACCAAGCGATGGAATGGTATGGTAGGAGAGGTGATTGATGGTAAAGCTGATTTGATAGTAGCAACTTTAACAATCAACAACGAAAGAGCCGAGTGGATAGAATTCTCCAAACCGTTCAAATACCAAGGACTTACCATCTTGGTTCAAAAGGTACTTTGTCTATTGATCTTGTGAACTATCCGTCTGTCTGTCTGTCTGCCTGTCTGCCTGTCCATCAGTTCCTCTGTCGGTTCATCTGTCTGTCCATCCGTCTTTTTGTCTGGCTGGTTGGCTTTTATTCAGTCAGTTTTTTTCATTCAGTCACTATTTATTCAATAGACATATGCGCAGTGTTTTCCCATTTCAGACCACGTGTTATTCTCTAGAGTATAATTTCTTTGTTTAACGATTGTACACATGAATATGAATACAGCTCAAACTGAGAATCTTATTCCTAAGAGAATAACACGTAGTCTGAAATGGGCAAAACATTATGCCCAAGAAAAAAAGGTCTGTAGACCCCTTGGCCCTTGGATGTGACGTCAAAGCAGCTCAATTTGGAGGATAAACAACATTTTCCATGCTCCATTTAATGCAGTTAAAACCTTCAAATCTTATATCGATACCTGAGATTCAGCCTTTGGGCTGATCAAGGTCAAGTCATGGCTAGCAAATAGATGGAATAGACCCCCTTGCATGTGACGTCAAATCAGCTCAATTTGAAGGACAAAACAAAGGAATTTCAATGTCCTGAGAATGGGACACCTATCGTTATGTCCTCTAAATTGAGCTGCATTCCGACGTGCTGCAAGGGGTCTATCAGTGTATTAGTCCCTATGTCTTTTTCTTTTTCGTTCGAAACGCTAACCTATTTCCAAACCGACTGACAGAACCAGAGCAAGAACAGCTTGGATTCATTCCTTCGTCCATTCCAAATCAACCTCTGGCTCCTCGTCCTATTGTCCGTGCACATCGTGGCTGTCATACTTTACCTGCTAGACAGGTTTAGCCCGTTTGGCCGGTTTAAACTCGCAAAGAAAGACCGTGAAGAGACGGCGCTCAACTTGTCAAGTGCGATGTGGTTCTCATGGGGCGTCTTGTTGAATAGTGGAATTGGAGAAGGTAATAACAACAACTTTTGGCTCCCCTGCCCCTCTCCCTCAGTAGAGCCAAGCCTTTCTAAATAAACTGATAATAGCGACCTTAAGATTCGTAAAATCTACGACGGCAACGTCAACCGGAAGTGTAAATAATTTCTCTTTGGGGTTCTGTCCATTGGAAGAAAGACTAGCGTCCGAAACGTCAGTAGGTTTTTTCATCTTTTCACGGTGTAAAATTTACCCTTTTATCATTACTGTTTCATTAGAAACACCGACGCAGCTCACACTAGTTTTTAGCTAGTTATCTCTTCAAAACATTGTTAGTAAAGTGAYCAACAGGGAAGAGTTTGGAGGCACAAAACCCTAAAGTGAAACCTCTATTCATTCAATTCACTACCAAACATTTGGGCCTCACCCTCCCTACTTACATAAGTGACGTTAATTAACAAGTGTAATGCTTTTTTGTGTTTTGTTTAATCAGGAACGCCTCGTAGCTTCAGTGCAAGGGTTCTGGGTATGGTGTGGGCAGGGTTTGCTATGATTATCGTTGCGAGCTACACAGCTAATCTTGCTGCGTTCCTTGTGCTTGATCGACCTAAAGCGGTAGTCAGTGGCATCGATGATCCAAATGTGAGTATTGTGACATACTAACAAAGGTTCACACCCTCCCTCGGGACATATTTTATAGCATCCTGGGGGACATCCTGGGGTGCTTATCATTTATCCCCCCCCCCCCCCCCCACCCAAACAAAACAAAAAAACCCCGGAAATTCCTGTTGGAAAAGAAATGGTTTGCGGTATCATTCTGATCGGAAAGTTCCAGAAAACTAGGTCTTCCAATTGAGGTAATTCCCTTTTCCCACTGTTTTTGGTTCTTCCGGTAGACGCGTGTACCATTTATCGGATGTCAAAGTTTCCCGCTCCTTTCTTACTATTCCAACCAGATGGGTTGGTTTAATGAGGTTTTCCCGCTCTTTTCTGTTCTTCCTGTTCTTCCGGTAGACGCGTATACCATTTATCGGAAGTCAAAATTTCCCGCTCTTTTCTTACTAATCCAACCAGATGGGTTGGTTTAAATGTTAAGCACATCTGTTTTCTTTGCAGCTTCGTAATCCTTCAGATCAGTTCACCTATGCTACAGTAGCAAACAGCAGCGTAGATGCGTACTTCCGACGTCAGGTTGAGCTCTCTTCAATGTACACATTCATGGAACAATACAACGTCAAAACCGATAAAGAAGGAATCAAGAAAGTAAAAAATGGGTGAGTATGTCTCCTTCATTCCTCCCCCCTTACATGGGGCAGCTCCCCCTTGCGTTGTATAATAGAGGCTTTGCACCATCACGTGCCGGCGCCCATAATCTAGCTTGGACTGCCTGTGGTTAGATGGCAGAACAATAAAATCCCTTTTCTCTTGGGAATTGAATTCTTTCTCATGTAAAACGATTGTATTGTTCCTGCCATCTAACATGGCTACCATCAGGTGATCATGGTCGTGACGGCAGCCATGTTAGATGGCAGGAACAATACAATCGTTTTACATGAGAAAGAATTCAATTCCCAAGAGAAAAGGGTTTTCATTGTTCTGCCATCTAACCACAGGAAGCCCAAGCAGTAGTATGGGATGGGCACGTGATGGTGCAAAAGCCTCTATACCCACTCTGCTGTCTCAGTTGGTTGAGCAGGAGGTCATTGGTTCAAGACCCAGCTAAAATAACACTCGGGTTCTTAAGATATCTGAGTAGAATGTGCTGCCATTGCTCTTAAAATATCTGCAAGCGATCAGACCTTGACCGTGGCTCAGATCATGAAGAATGGTCATATCAAGCTTTACTCTATATTTTAGTGTCGAAGTTGGAGTAGAGAAAGCTCACTCCATATATGGTATGATCAATTCCATATTTGGATTGTGTGGAAAAGCGGTAAACAAAAAGGCCGTCGTTTTATAATGAATTCGACATGAACATTTTTGAAGAAGAAAAGAAAAGAAAARAAGACAAGTAAAAAGAGAAAAACTTTGGAAAATCGAGGAAGGATACGGGGACGATGCTAACTCGTGGGTCTGTGGTTCCCCGGCTTTCCTCCCTCCGCAAAAATCAACTTCTAAATTCCAATTGGAATTACAGTGGATGAAGAACTACTCTGTAGAAAAGCCACTGTTAAATCACATTTATTATTTATAGACAACAGACACAGGGAAATACGACACTCAATGTTTGATATGTGCCCCTTACCCGGTCTCAATAATCGTATTGTGAAATTTTGGTTTTGTTTTGCAGCGAACTAAGCGCTTTTATTTGGGACTCACCTTTCCTGTATTACGAAGCGTCGAATGACTGTTCGCTGACCACGGCAGGGGAGTTGTTTGGGAGGTCAGGATATGGAATTGGAATGCCAAAAGTAAGGAAAATATAGACGAATAATGATGACATTGATGATCTAAATGATGATGACGATGAATGATGACATTAAATTATAATGATGATGATGAT